GATTTCGTAAGACTTTCTGCACCGCTCACAAACCTCACGAAGGACGCCGAGAAGTTCCAATGGGCCGAGGAGCAGCAGCAGGCATTCGACGAGCTTAAGCGACGACTGCAGACTCCTCCTGTCCTTGGACATTTCGACCAGGATGCGGAAACCGAGATTCACACAGACGCAAGTAACGCAGCCCTAGTAGCACCATATGTTGCCATAACGTGACTGGAATGTCACAAATGTAATGTAACGTTGGGGCACATTTGGGAATGTTATAGCAATGTTTGAAAACTAACGTAACAGAAACGTTTTCCTGTAACATTGTTTGACTGTCACTGAACGTCATGTAACGTTACATCACATAGGCAAACGTTCCAGGAATGTTAAAGAAGCAACATTGGAGCAACGTTTAGAAATAACCTCTTGGTAACATTTCCATCCTGACATACGGGCAATGTTATGCAGCGATGTTGGCTTAATGTGACGAAATGTGACGCATGACCACATCACACAGAGGCTGGTCAAGGATACACGAAGATACCAAACTTATAATAGTTCAATGTTGATTCTCTTGTTCAAACATTTTTATTTTTTTACAAACAGAAAGACCGCTCTAATGCTTGTGATGGGCGTGTTTGAAACAAATGTTCAAAATGTACCCTGGAAAGATTGCAGAAAATTAAAAAAAATATCTGTCCAAAAGGTTTATGATAAAATTGAATTCATTTGTGTGTATGGCATTTCCTTGCTTCCTTCCTGCCCCTTAACGGGTTGGCGAGTCTGCTCAATATTCACGAGCTAGCATGCACCCTCATCATAGCTTTTAGGTTAAGGTCATTCGAATGTCCAGCTTTTGGAACGCATGCTAAAGATAACAAGAGGGTGAAGTCATGGGGTGTTAATGTGTTATCAAAGGTGGAAAACTCACGCTGGTGACGCGACGACCCAAAGACCTCCCGAACATGTATAGAATGGCATGAGAGTCGTAGCCTGTAAATTAATTTGGAACACGCAGCTAGCTGAAATTATCACCAAAAGTGTATTTTAGTTGTGTGCTCTATTGCGTTATTTTCGAAGAGTAGCTCTGTTTCTGTGAAAAATACGAACATGATTACCCTAAGGCCAGGTCGCAGAGAGCTCTTGGGGTCGACCGACTGCTCTATCCAACCCGAGCTTGCTGCAAGATGATTTCTACTATTTAAAATAGAAGCGAGGACTAATTTCACGACGGACTCAGGTCAAATCGAGCGACTGGGTGGTTCTTACTCTCGCCCTGTCTCGGTTGTCTGCGCCAGTGCTTGCCATAGAGATTTAGAGAAATCTTGGAGCGTGCAGTATAAGATACACCCTGGTTGAAAATTTGAAATAGTTACATGCAGAAGCTCATATTTCAGTTCAATTTACAGCTCAGCACTCTATTCGGAAAACTCAAAAAGTGGCGGCTCCTTGCAGCACACTGCAAGTGAGACGACTGGCGGTAGCCATTGTCTCATAGACAGAGGAGGGGAAAAGGGAGACGGTTGAGGGGGAAGGTGAGCGATGAGATGGGAAGGAGAATAGAGGCAGGAAGAAAGAGGTCGAAGGCCAAAAACACACGCTCACACAAGGAAGAGAGGAGACAAAAGGAAAAGGGGAATGAGGATGAGAGGCTGAGGGAGCATGAAGAGAAAGATGAAGAGAAGTGGGGCAGGGAGGAGCAAGATCAGACGGAGGAGAGAGGAAAGAGGGGAGGAAGAGCACACAGAGGGAATATGAGACCAATGGGGGAGAAGGAGTGGAGGGGAATGAGGAGATGGGACGGGGTGGGGCCAGGTTAGACGTAAAACATCGCAGGTCATAGGCCTCGGTTGCATGGACACAAGTTCACACCTCCCCGACCACTCAAAATGAAGAGCCATATGCAGCTGCCACCAAAAAGAAAAGGTCAAAGGCCTTGAACATAGAATCACTCAAACGAGAGAGAAGGGGGAAGAGGGGAGGAAAGATGTGTAGGATGGGTAGTGGAAAGAGGAAGGTGGACAAGAGAGTAGAGGAAGAGGGGAGGGAGGAATGAGGAGACCGAGGAGATAGAAGGGGAGATGGCGAGGAGGAGCAGTCAAGGGTCCGAAGTCGAGATCAAAGGTCAAAGGCAACGAACATATAATCCTATGAAGGTGGGGAAGGGGGGGCCACAAACATTAAATCATGCGAGGAAATGAGGAGTGAAAGGTTAGAAAAGGCAACATAGGAGAGATGGGACGGGAATGGGGTGAGATTAAAGAAAAGTGAGTGAGAGGGGGAGGGGAGGGGCAGTTAGGAAGGAGATCTAGCATCAAGGGCCACGGATGCAAGGACGCACTCCGCCGACCACTCAAAATGAAGGGCCCCAAGGGGGGAGGCACTCACTATATCGAGTGACGTGTTAGCGAATGTCCACGTTTCACCGAATGACACTTTAGCGAAAATTCGGACGCTGCGAAGCGGCGTTTTCGGGTGGGCCAAGTGGGTTCACATTTTTGTAATGAGCCGCCGCAGACTCGCCGCGCGGCGGATGGGTTAACGCGCGCCCCCGTTATTCGCTAAAACGTCGATTCGCTCAAATGCCGCTGTTTGCTAAAACGTCATTCGCTCATCTAATATGGACCCTAATTATAATGAAACGAGTATAATCACACACACATTGTTAGCCCCCGTTCACTTCTCGCCAAAGATTCGTCGACACGAGAACATATTTGAGCTTGAGGCTTCGAAGCTCGCTCTGCGTGGACCACTCTTTGCCTACATTTGTTATCTGGACACATCACAATGGCACAGCACAGTCGCATAGCTACGGTACTACCGTTTCGATGTTAACAGTTCACTATCGTTACCGATATTACGGTCGAGCTCATCCACTGATCACTGCAAGACGTTGCAAGATCGCCATCGCCATGATTGCACACTAGTACGGCATTACGGTTATGGCTGTACGGCTTATACCAATTTCCAATTTCTCCAATCGATGTAATGTTTTATAACTCTTAAAAAAACTTATTTTAGTACTGTCAGATAAATTTCCACAGTTTATTCCTACTTGAAACTTTATGTTTAGTCGTTTACTCGTTTACGCACACTGTTGACAAGCCAAGACGCCAAGAGTGCAAGTAGCTCAAGCCAAGCAAAGTCGAAGCCAGGTTGACCACGTGACCGTATGTCAACGGACCGTCAAGGCCGTCAAGGCCTGTTTCATCGGACCGCTCTGCCGATCTCTCGGCGTGGAGGAAACGTAAACAAAGGTATGTTTCATTTTCGTTGTTGTTACTACTTGTGCTGAACAATGGAGCGGGCGAAGCGTTCGCTATCAGAGCTATCCGATCGCCAAAAAAGACTTAGAGTAGCCGAAAGTGTTCACAAGGAACTTGAAAGTTGCGTTACGAGCAGTGATGAGTCGGTGGACACTGAGGAAGCATACCCTCTTTCACCTGGACAACAGGCCGTGGCAGCACATGCAAGTTTTTCCGGAGAGTTTGAATACCAACGAGCTTCCGAGTGTGAATCTGAGTCGAGTGATACGAGTGGTGCACGAAATAACCTAATCTCAGAACACCTGTGTCAAAATCCCCGCTGCGAATTCCCCGCGTTACCTCCCCCTCTTCAAAATCCCCGGCCTTCAAAACCCCCTTTCCTTTATCCCCTTATCAGTTCCCCCGGGCCAGTGGTCCTTAGAAACCATTTGGAAAAGCGCTTTTATGGAAACTTCATAAAGCTGAGCTGTGTTATGACCATCCTAGCCAGCCCCAAATTTTCTTTGACACACTGTGATCTTGCAGAATCTCTCTTGAGAGAGTTTGTTTCTGGAGCTGGTACCTTGTATGAGGGGGTTTATGTCTACAACATGCACTCCCTGATCCACCTGACAAGACGTTCGATGGTTCGGCCCTGTCAACACCTTCTCGGCCTTTCCCTTTGAGAACTTCCTTGGGAAGCTGAAGAAGTTGGTGAGGGGTCCTTCCTTGCCACTGCAGCAGGTTATCAAGAGGCACTCAGAAGTGAATCCCACCACCGTGACAAGTTCTGTGCAACAGAAGTGTGCTCTGCTCAAGCAACAACCTGAGCCGCCAAGCTTCAAGAAAACCCAGTGCAGTGAGCTTGTTTTAGACGGAGCACATTTCTCTCTGAAGGCGTCCGACAACTGTGTTCAACTGAAGTATGGCAACATTGCTGTTGTTAGGAACTTCATTGAGTCAGATGGGAACCGTAGCATCTGCGGACAGTTTTTCCGAAATCTCGGCAACCTTTATACTTCAAAGCTGCCATCATCAGAGCTAGGAATTTTTAGAGCTACAGGGCTCTCCATGCAGTATTCAGTGGGGAGTGTGCAGGACATCAGGTGGAAGTGCGTCTGCTTGCAATATAACCAGGGACATGATTGTAAACCTGAGACTGGGGCAGAAAGGAGAACACAGCAGAAGGTAGAAAAAGAGGAGGCAATGTCTCAAACTCAGCTGCAAAGTTTATTTTGTACACGCCTTATATACCACAACTCCAACGCTGTCTCTACAAAAAAAAAATATATATGACAAGAGGACAATGAAATTTGGGTAAACCTTCTCTTATCTCCCTTGACCTCTCCTGCGAAACACTCACACAAAGGGTCACATTCTAGCATAACCACTGCCATTCGGCGTTGGAGTTGTGGTATATAAGGCGTGTATGAAATAAACTTTGCAGCTGAGTTTGAGACGTTGCCTCCCCTTTTTCTACCTTCTGCTGTGTTCTCTTTTCTGCCCCAGTCTCAGGTTTACAATCATGTTCAACTTACACCAGCTCGCCTGCACTCCATTTTTTCGATAACCAGGGCTATGCTGTTTTTTTATCTACTTCACTTGCAAGTGTGATCTATGTTTGCAACTATTGTACATTGGTTGTGCTTAATTCTAAAACTGTATTTTTAGTGACTTATGACTGGTCTTTAAGGTAATAACGGCTTTATTTGTTGATTTCAGGAAATGTACTCTCTTGTCCATTTTTTTGGCGGAAAATGATGTCGCAGTTGTCCCTACCTGTGGGGTGTGCAATGGCTGCACGGCATGGCCACCCTACAAATCAAATCGGTTGATGATGGCAATTAGAGAGCGTGAAGAGCCCTCGACTGACTGGGCCACATTCTCCTGTCAGGTGATGGCATCATGTTGTAAGTATAGCAGGGTGTCTAGCAACCGGGAATTGTCAAGGAAATTTTAATTACCGGGAAAAATCAGGGATATTGTCAAAAATCAAGCCCAGTCATGGAAAATGAGCCGGAAACGCCATTGAGTGCCCTGAGCAAAGAGTTGAGAACCTTGGGGCAGAGAAATAGGCAATAAATTCTGCTTACAGCGGAGCGCGGACTCTGCTCACCCAATGTAGAGTGTGCTAGAGCACTGCACGAGCCAGAATTTCTAGACCCGGCCCGGTAGAGGCACGGCCCGGGTTTGGCCCGAGCCTAATAGAATATTTAATTTCTGGGCCCGGCCAGACTTGGCCTTGAAGAGACACGGCTCGGGCCCGGCCCGGACCCGACAGAATTTTAGACAGAAGCTTCAGCCCAGCACGAGCCAGGACAAAATTTTTGTTTTCTTTAATATAAACCTGAGCTGGCCCAATCCTCACAGATTATATACATGAGCCCGGAAAAGTTGGCAGGCTTTAACCTAAAAGCTGTCTAACCATAAAGCGAGCATATTTGATTTAATGAACAAAAGTTTAGGGTGCAAACAGGCTTGTGGTGGTTAAACATTTGACTGGTGTGCTCGGCTTTCTTGTTTCAGTGACATATGAAAATGCAAAGTACAAAAAAAAAAAAAATTCGGAAGCGACGTCCGACCTAACATTGAATAATGAAGAGCGGGAGAAGAGAAAAAGGAAGAGACTGCAGCATACTCTTTCTTCATTTGAGGATGAGGACTTCTATGACCAAGATGTATGCACCTAAATTTCTGCAACACCTTTGTATTCGGGATTCATTTGCCCTCCTTTTTCATCAAGCTTGCCTCTTCTGCAGGAACGACGTAACACTCAGCCAGCCCCTCAACTTCCAGAACGTGCAGCAGAGCCCAAGCAAAAACGCACACGTGTATGTTTGTTTTTTGTTGCTGCAATTTCTTAACGCTTTCCAGCATTTAGATATTTTATTTTATGTGATTAGCCTCAGCTTGGTTAGCCGCAATTGTGATAATGAATGGTATCCATATTGTTTATTGAGCACCTGCTGTTTTGGTGTTTCTTTCAGAGCGCAGCTCTTAGGCGCCCGTTTCCGGCTTGAGTGGTGTCGCCGTCGCCGGAACCGCGGCGACGTTTCGGCAAGGTGACGTTTCGGCACCATGCCAAATTGTCCTCGCGGGGTCACGTGACCCCCGTCAGGAGGGTCACGTGACCTCACGGTTACGGCGACGCCGCTCGGAGGGAGGTGTGGCAGGGAGGAGGGGTATACCCTTTCCTCGGGACCCTTCCCTCCTCCTCTCGAGCTCTAATTTACCGTTACAGGGAGTTGTAAACGGCTTTCATTTTTTCTATCTAGTCATTTTTAATTTACAAAGCTGCTAGTTGTGGTATGCTTCCTCGCACAAGGACAGTTATAGCCTAAGGGATGGTGAAGTGGATATTTTTAATTTGACGGTGCATATGTTTGCTTTGTATTGCTGCAACCTCATGTTTGCATAATTCTGGTGTACTAGTCATTTTTATTTTACAATTTAATTTATTTTGTTTATTTATCTATGCTTTCTGGTCAAAGGATACATTAGAATGCTTGCTGTTTGTGCACTCTAACCATAGCACTTTTCATGGACCTGTCCTCTGCTTTATATGTGGAATGGTTTGGGCAGCGTTAGGATTGACCACTTCTTAAAGAAAGGTGGTACATTTTGTTTTACACCACCGAGCACTCTTTGGTGTAAGGTACGTTACCATATAGCTGAATGACACAATCAGCTATACACGTTTGCAAGCAGTCATGTTTCCAAAAGTAGTCTAGCCACCATGGGTAGGGATACGTGCTCTCAGGGTACCAATCTGTCAATTAGCTTAGTGACGCTTTAGCAAGCCTTCATAATCGGATTATCTGGGGTGCACCCGAGCTGGAAGATGGCAGCGCGCAAGGGCCCGCCAATTTGCAGACTCTGTCTCATTTTTGTTAGTGAGAGAAAACAAAGGCTTCTTCAGTATCATCTAGGAAAACCACATGTTCAATATTATCTCCATTTAAATCTTTATGAAATGGATCAGCAAACTGCTAACCCTAGCTGACAATGTAGGCGCAAACGACAGCGCAGTTGCTACTACGGCTTCAGTGCACCAAACATCAATTTACTATGTCAGGTGCATTGTTACGTTTTCTTTGTTTTTTCCATGCACAGTCAGTCCTTGACTTGAGCAATGTCTTCTCCAAAAGTTGGTTCAGCGGTGTCCACATGATTGGCACAGACCTGGATGTGCACGTTTCTCATGGTTCACCTCTGTTAAATAATAATGGCATTGTTTGCACAATGTTCACATACTCAATGGCTTATTTATGTACTATTTAGTAGACCTCGCTGCATACTAATATTCCTGAGATATTTATTCCTTTGAGAAAACTTGGCTTTAGCGTAGGTTGCAGTGGTGCAGATGTCTTCCGACACGGAGCAGACAACACTCAGGCACGTCTGTTTGCGTCGTCCTCGCAGGGGTAGCACATCATCATTTGTACCATGGGATTGGTCATGTCTCCTCCGTCTCTGCCATCGTTGCCTGTAGAAGCCGATGTTTCGGGTTTTATTTGGGCTATGTTTAAAGCAAAATTGCATAGGAAATATTCCACCAATGCATGAAATAAAATAGTTATTTTTATATTTCTTTTTAAATTTATTTTTTATTTTTATTTGAAGTCTTATAATTCCAAAAGTTTTGGAATTAAGCAGAGTTGCCTTTTAACAACAAATGGCTATAGCTAAACAGGGCACACAAGTGAGGAGCTTTTTTTTTCTAAAAAGGCGAAATCCACATGAAGCAGAACAGATAAATTGGTATGTTTGCTAATCAGTATAGCTACGAGCCATGTGCCGCAGCCACCTCTGCTGTGGTTTTTATAGCGTACTCTGACCGATTTCACTGTAGTAGCATTTGAGATCGATGGACCAACGAATATAGTTTGAATTCATACAAAAATTTGCTTGGTTTCAGTTTTCTGGATTTGGCTCTTTTAGATGAAAGGAAACTGTGTCCTGGTGAAGCATGTGACAGCAGCCCACATAAGCTCACTACAGTGGAGTTTTGTCTTATGCCTTGCTCCCGAGCTATCTGGCTCATTGACAGGGTGTCTAGCACCTTGGAAAAGCTGGAATTGTCAGGAAATTTCGGATCATCTGGAAAAGTCAGGGAATTGTCAGGGAGATAATCAAAAAGTTAGCCAAATCAGGGAAAATGGCCAGGGCGAGTAATGCGGTGGTGTGCGACGAAGCCAGGAGAGTCGTGCATTGACGTGGCTGTGCTAAATAACATTGCCCGAAACTTTGTAAGTCTTTGACTTCTTGAGTAACATAAAGACCGATTTCAATAAATTGTTTTAAATTGTGAGTGGTGTTCACTTATGAGGTGTTTAGTAGCAGTTCGTACCACATCTCCAAACTTCTGTAATGGACAGGGAATTTAAAACCTGGAAAAGCTGGGGAACTTAAAAGGAGGAATTTGCTAGACACCCTGGCTGATTTCATAGTTACCGATGTCTGCCAAGTTATGCTGAAGTAGGGCATGAAATTGTCGATATTTCACTGTGGTAGCTGACGTTGTGTTGTAATTATATACTTTTGAAACAGGAGCTGTGCGCACCTGCTTTAAACAGAAGGCAGAAAACAATGAGCCAGCCATCATCGTGCAGGAAGCCGACGCCAAATGGGCTGCTGCTGAATTGGTCAGGCATGCACCAGCTAGGACCAAGAAAATGGTAATATGATATTTCTAATTTTGCTTAAACTCCCGAAAAATACTTTTGCATCCTAAAACAAGCCCAGATTTCAAACAAAGGCATTAGTCTACTTTACATAAAGACATTTTTAAGTATTAAGAAATTTATTTAGCCAATGAAAGAACACCATGTTATGACATTGTCTGCAATGAGCTTGACATTGTAGAAAATATGAGGCTCATTGACATTGCCCGTGGGTCCGGACAGTTCATCAAACGCCATTTCATTGAACATTGTTTCATCGACGCTGTTTCATTGAACGCAGTTTTATCGAACGCTGTTTCATTAAAAGCCATTTCATCGAAGTTGTTTCATTGAACGTAGCCTATTTGAGCAGTAGAAATATTTTTCTTTTTAGTGCCGGGAGGATAGCAGTGTTTTAATATTTATTGTAACTTATAAACTTATATATATATAAAAGGAAGGAACCTTTTTTTGTCACCTTCTATTCTTTTTTTTTTAGTAAATGATGACTTCTGTTAATGAGGCCAATAAGACACGGTAACACTAACGACACTTTTAAAAGCTGTGATCATCAGGTGCAGTGATGAATGCACAACCATTCAAAAGCATATATATATCTTCGTCCTTGAAGAGACCTATTCTGCTTCAAGACGAAGCCGTCCTTGAGGCAGTGATCTGTCCCCGTGGCCCATGATACGGGGAAAAGAAAAGACGTGTCTCCTCTCTTTGTTAATTTATTATAACCGACAGAACCGTGGACCTGCCGGATATTCGACATACAGTAATATACTGCATGTCAAAGATCCGACAGGTCCACGGTTCTGTCGGTTACAAAAATTTGACGAAGAGGGCAGGCACGTCTTCTTTAAGAACATCTATGTTCTTAAAAAGAAAGCTATTCTCTTAGGATAAAATGAAAAAAAAGTTACATCTACAAATACAAAATAAAAAAGGCGCTGCGGAAAATAGCTGTTTCCCTCTTAAGAAAGTGCCTTTCACGCATGAATAAATAGAAGGTTGAAGTGGGAAAAAGTGAGTGGCCGAGAACAGCCGCCTACCTTACCAGAAAAGAATAAGTCGCGTATCCACTGTCTTCTGTGGGTAGGTCACACTTTGCGGTAAAAGTCTAAACTGGATGAAAAGAACGGCTTGTGCATGCAAAGAAACTGTGGTGAAACTGCTAGGACAGATGTAGGCATTTCTTTTTTTATCTTGATGACACTCTCTGCCCTGAAATAGGCACCCATTTTCTGAATGCAACCAACTTTTTTGTGTTATTTTTTTGCAGGAGCAGTGTGCCTCTTCTCAGGAGTGACTGAGGGGCTGATACAAGGGGAGAAGGCAAGCATGTTTCTGATTACAAGGATGGACAGTTGGGCTGGGCTAGTTGGTAAGAATTCATGTTGAAAAACGGTGCGAAAACCAGACAAAGGAAAAAGAACACACAGTGCCTTGTCCTGTGTGTTTTCTTATCCGTGCATTTTGCGCTGTTTTTCAGCATGTTTCTGCCTTGATTTTTCTGTTAGTTTTAAATGTTAGTAGTTGGTTACATTGATCCCAATTGGAAGCATGGAATTGGTTAACCGTGCTAAATGCATAGAATTGAAGAAAAAAAATTCATGCTACCTAAATCATTTAAAATGCTTTTTTTTTCTAATGATTTCTTTCTCTTTTTTTTACAGCCATCTCATGAGTAGAGTCCCTGTTGTTTGAATTTTTTATGTCAATTTGTAATATGCATATGTTACCTTTAATTTCTATTCATGCATACATTTTAGCCCCAGCTAGTGGTTTCTTTTATTTAATTTATGTACACATTAGTGTGGCATTTTTAGAAGATTTAAAATTTATGTTCTTTTTCTAGTCATTTTTGGTTTATTGCCTCCGTTATTTATTTATATGTCCTCGCCCAAGATCGGGTGTCATTTGAGATATATTTAGAATTTTATTTTAAGCTAATTGCTTTATGTTGCTGGGAGTTTTAATATTTTACATTTTTATTTTTATGCAGATCAGCCTTGTAATTTAGTGTGTTCTTTACAATTTTGTAGATCTAATAGCTTGTAAGAAACAGAAGAATTCTCTGGTACTTGTAATGTTGGTTTCGTTTTTGAAATAAATTTATTCCAATAACTTCTTGT